TTCTTAAGCTTGAAAGCTCTAAATTTTTAATTTTTTAGGGAGTCAAATCATGTTCATAGAAAACCTCAATTAACAAATTGAATCTATCACAATATTTTAGATTCATTTTTTTACAATAAAGTTTATCTGCAAGCCCCTTAGGACCCACATGTAAAGCTAAACTCAATTTTGTAAAAATGATTTAAAATTTAAGAAAGGAGAAACTTACTCTATTCGAAATTTTGATAAGTAAAAATGATTTTCTCTCCTCCGAAGACACTAAGGATGCTTGGATCTAGAAAATGATGAGAGAATGGTGAGAAACTTAGAGAGAATGCACATAAAAAAGAATTGTAGAGAGATTATAGTTTTGTGAGAATAAGATTTGAACGATTAAATTTTTCTATTTATAATTCTTTTTATCTTAAATGGTAAAATTTCAAACTTACTCTTATTATACCATTCACTAGTGCAGAATAGGGCTTTTACGTCACCCAATTGTCGTCGCATGCATGTATATTCGACGTAAATAAAACGCGGTGGCAATTTTGTAAATATGGGACAAAAATTTTACGTCGCACATCCCAGTATGCGACGTAAAAAGCCTCTTTTACGTCGCACCTGGGAGGCACGACGTAAAAGATGGCTTTTTACGTCGCGTGCTGGGATGCGCGACGTAAAAAGTCTATTTTATTTCCCTCCAGACCCACTTCCTCGTCTCGCGCAACCAGAGATTTTGAGAACGACGACAATAGCTACCTCTGCACACCATTTTTGAGCAGTTTTACAGAGAAAAGCATCTACATTATCGTGTCATTTGACGAACTTGATCTTTCTCCCCGATTGGATTCGAGTTTGAAATCAGTTTTCGTCTACACTCGAGGTTAGTGTTCTATGTCATTGCTATATGTTTACATTGAATCCGTGATTGTTTTTAGGGATCTCAATCATGTTATAGTATGAATGTCTCCACTGGATTATTATTGGAATGTAATTATTTGTTTATTTGTTTGAGTGCATTCGGTTTACACACTCCATTGTTGTTGGAACGTGCTTTGTTGTTTGTATATTCATTTTTTTTACATATAATTTTTAAATCTCTAGGAGTGACGAAACTTTATAACATAATATGAATCGAAATTGGATGAATGCACGTCGTATTAGTGAAGAGTACGAAAAGGGAGTTGAGGAATTTTTGAAATTTGCTAGTGAAAATGGAAAAGCTATGAAAGGGACATATTATTGTCCATGTGTTCATTGTTTGAATCAAATTCGTCATAAACTTGAGGATATACGTGATCACTTGTTTGTTTATGGTATTATTAAGAGTTATACAATATGGACATGGCATGGAGAAATATTAGACATCCCAACTGTGTCAACTACAGACAATTTTGATGAAGGGATGGATGATAATCTAGAGGATATGATACGTGATATTGGTGAAGAAAATTTTATGAAAGCACATCTATATGATTCTTTGAAATCTGATTTTGCGCAACAATTGTACATAGGATGTAGTTTTACAAGATTATCAGCAACTTTAAAATTGTTTACTTTAAAAGCAAGAAATGGATGGACTGATAAAAGTTTCACCGAATTATTGGAGTTGTTGAAGGAGATGCTTCCTGAAGATAATACATTACCTATTCGTAACTATGAGGCAAAGAATATATTATGTCCAATGGGTTTAGAGTACAAGAAAATACATGCATGTCCTAATGATTGTATATTGTATAGAAATGATTTTGCTAAATTAAAGATGTGTCCGACATGTGGTTTGTCGAGGTTCAAAAACAAAGTTGAGGAAAGTAGTGGTGAGGAAGAACTAGATGATCCCCCTGCTAAGGTGTTATGGTATTTGCCAATTATACCTAGGTTTAAAAGATTATTTGCCATAAAAGAAGATGCAAGAAACTTGACATGGCATGCAAATGGTAGAAAATGTGACAATCTTCTTCGACATCCAGCTGATTCTCCACAATGGAAAAGGATTGATGAAACCTTTCCAGAATTTGGTGCAGAACCAAGAAACTTGAGAATTGGATTAGCTACAGATGGGATGAATCCTTATGGAAATTTAAGTAGTAAACATAGTTCATGGCCAGTTATGTTGATCATTTACAATTTGCCTCCTTGGTTATGCATGAAGAGAAAATATATGATGTTATCTATGATGATTTCAGGACCTCGACAACCAGGAAATGACATAGATGTATATCTTAGTCCTTTAATTGATGATTTGAAAATGTTGTGGGAAACAGGAGTGGATGTATTTGATTCATATCACGAAGTGAATTTCAGGTTGCGTGCAATGTTATTTTGTACTATAAATGATTTTCCAGCATATGGTAATTTGAGCGGTTATAGTGTGAAAGGTCATTTAGCGTGTCCTATATGTCAAGAAGACACAAGTTATATCCAATTGAAACATGGACAAAAAACTGCGTACAATAGGCATAGAAAGTTTCTAGTTGCTAATCATCCATATCGTAAAATGAAAAAAGCATTTAATGGATGTCGGAGAATGCAGCTTGCATCAGTACCACGCAATGGTGAACAAGTATATGAGCAAGTGAAAAATATTAATATTGTGTTTGGAAAGACCCAAAAGAAATCCAATGAGGAAAACATTTGGAAGAAACAATCTATATTCTTCAATCTTCCTTATTGGTGTAAGTTGGAAGTTAGACACTGTATAGATGTGATGGTATAATTGGGACATTGCTTAACATAAAAGGAAAGACAAAAGATGGAATAAAAGCAAGACAAGATTTGGCAGACATGGGTATACGTTCTGAATTACATCCACAATCAGTTGGAAAACGCACTTACTTACCTCCAGCTTGTCATACTCTATCAAAGAAAGAAAAGAGAAGCTTTTGTGAGTGTTTACATGAGGTCAAAGTGCCACAAGGATACTCCTCAAATGTTAAGAGTCTTGTGTCTATGCAAGAGTTGAAATTAGTTGGTTTAAAGTCTCATGATTGTCATGTGTTGATGCAACAACTTTTACCAAGTGGCGATTCGAAACATCTTACCAACTTCTGTTAGAATTGCTATTACTCTGTTATGTTTGTTTTTCAACGCCATTTGTAAAAAGGTAATTGATCCAAAAAAGTTAGATGAATTAGAAAATGAAGCAATTGTAATAGTGTGCCGCTTAGAAATGTATTTTTCCCCTTCATTTTTTGATATCATGGTGCATTTGATAGTTCATTTGGTAAGGGAAATTCGATTATGTGGTCCAATTTTTCTTAGATGGATGTATCCCGTTGAGAGATACATGAAGATCTTAAAAGGATATGTGAAGAATCGAGACAGCCGTAAGCTTCTATTGTGGAAAGGTACATTGCAGAAGAAGCCATTGAGTTTTGTCAAGGATACATGTCAAAATCGAACCAATAGGTATTCTTAAGATGAGACATGATGGAAGATGTGAAGGTAAGGGTACTCGAAATTTGAAGATTAAAAATGTTAGTCTGAAAGAAGTTGACCAAGCACATTTATACATATTGAACAACACCGACGAAGTAATCCCTTACATATCACAACACATAACTCGAAATAAAGGCAACACATCCACGAATGAATGAAAAATGGGTATTGAATGAACATAACAAAAGTTTCCTTTCTTGGTTTAAAAAAGGGTATATGTTGAGATTAATGCTTCGTAAACACTTTTGAGACTTGCTCGTGGGCCTAATAGTGATGTCATTACATTTGGTGGGTATGACATTAATAACTATTGTTTCTACTCAAAAATAGAAGATGATAAAGGTAGAGTACAAAATAGTGGGGTCACAATTCAAGCTGAATCTATGCATTTTTCTAGTTCTAAAGACAAAAATCCTATATGCGACGTAAATTTACGTCGCGTATTGGTATATGCGACGTAAATTTACGTCGCGTATACCATATGCGACGTAAATTTTCTGTTTTTTTTTTTAAATTGAAAAGGTTTTTACGTCTGTTTAGTGTATATGCCACGCAAAATTACGTCGGATCTTGATAACTGACGTAAATCTACGTCGGGCAAAAGGGTCCGACGTAAATTTACGTCTCCTGCTTTAACGTTGGACTTAAATACGACGTAAAAAACCCTAAATACCTGACGTAAAAGCCCCTTTTTGCACTAGTGATTTCTACTCTTTACTCACTGAAATTGGGTCCTTACATAATTTCTTTGTAGATATTAAAACTTAAAAGATATATGTTTTTGGTATTTTTTTATGAGTTTAAAATATTAAAATTAAATTATTTAAAAAATAGAAAGTGACTCAAATCATATTAGAACCGTACCCCTTATAATTAAATTATATTCTAATTATATTCCCTTGTTAAAAACATTCCTATTAGGAAAATTTTAAAATGTAAATTGAAATTTTATATGGAATAAAAATAAGAAAATTAAATAATTTATCTTAAAATTTTGATTAAAATAGTACTAACTCGTGGTCCATTTGTGAAAATGGACCATATACCCAATAATTGCAATGAGTAATGTTTCTATTAATATGATTTATGATTTGAGAATCTTAGTCAAGAATGATTCCCGACACGGTGGACCTAGGCCTATGAATTTTGGCGCAAAAGATAAAATACTTCATTAGAAAATGATGTTTAGGTACCTTTCGCATGAATTCCCAGTAATAAAAATGATTTGCTATTACCAAATACTAAAAATAAAATAAAATAAAATGTAACTTTTTATAATAAGTACAATATTATAAACTAAATTTGAGTATAATTCAATCTTAGATCTAATTTAATCATATAAAATTAATTTGCATCACCATATTATATTTATATCTATGATCCATTTGAGATCTCGTGAGAATAACTAAGAAAAAAATAATGAGAACCTTTTTTTCTGTGGTCAACTTTGTAGTGGTTCCTCTAGGTAACTATTCACACACACAAAACTATTAGACTCAATACTTGTGCTGATTAAGAAGCCACAAAATGGTATGTAAAAAAAAAAGTTTTCTTTAGAAAAGTAAATCAATTAAACTTTCCACATGAACCCTCTTATAGCTTCAATTATTCAAAAGAAGAGTGTAGTAACACATTTTTTTAGTAAACTTTATGTAGTAGATAAACTTATTGAAAATTATGAAATTGTAAATAAGGTTTGTTGCATAAGTTGAACAATTTTTGTTTTTTCTATAAGTTTAATAAAGTATAAGTGGGGCTTTAATAATATGATTTTGTTCAAAATCCTTGTTATCAATATTCACTACTTAGAAAAAAAATCTAAGTTTAATTTATTAATGATTTTAAAATATTGAAATTGAACACTATTGTTATGAGATTGAGTTTTTCTCCAATAGGTCAAGTATGTGTACAAAGATATTTACAAAGACACTTCGATACTTTGGTGATTATATACATGAAAGTAAGTAGAATATGTACAAATTGAGTGAAAAATAAAATAAAATACTGGAATTATTTATATAATGATAAATTACCTTAATTACTCATAAGTGGATATTTTAGATAATTTTTAAGAAATTCAAAATGAGTTGGTAGTTAAATATTTCATGCATTTGAATATTGCTGAAATATCATGTTTAAATATCTCGACAATTATAGTATTTATTAATTTTAGATTGGTTAAGTAATATTACAAATAATTTTTTTTCAATAAATTGCTTTTTAACTCTTTTTTCTTTTTTTAAATAATAAATTTGTGGGTATAATAATCCAAATTAATGATTTTCAGATATAGCTGAAATTGATTTAACATCATTGATAAGAGAGATAAAAATATTAATTTTCATATATCCCTTTAAATTTTTGTTTTTAATTTGTGTTAAAATAGTTTTAGTTTATAGAAAAATTAATTTTATTTTTTTTATTTTTCATAATTTGAGTTAAACACATGTCAAACGATTAACACCAACTCGCATTTCTTCATACTCATTGAGATATATCCCTTTCACTTTTCTTCTCTTTTTCTTATTTTTCTTTTTATATTTTTTTCTTAAAAATGCTTATAAAAAAGCCTAAAGCTTCTAGTTTTCAGTGCTTTTTTAAGTGATAAGCTATTTTTCTAAATTAATTATAACTTCCATATCAACTATTATTTTCTATTTAATCAAGTATTTTTTTTAATTTTCTTGAGCATTGTGTTGTGATCCTAATCTATTTCCACTTTTAAAAAACATTAACTAAAAAAAAAGAAGTGAAAAGAGAAAACAACATAAATTAAAACCACTTTTACAAGTAATGTGTCAATCCCAATTTTCAAGAATAATTCTCTTTTGCATGAGTGTTGATTTTGTGCCTGAAATTTCCAGTGACCTAACCCTAGGCCAATTCAACCCCTTTTATATCAAATCAGAAACGTGGAACAAAATAGACAAATTAAATTTTGCTTTTTTAAAGTACACACTCAGCCATCTTTACACAACAGCCATGCCCATATATGCCTTCAAAAACTTTTTTTCTTGTCATTTTTCTTCCAAACCCATTTCATTCCTGATTCTACCATAAACATTGAAATCGAATGAGGATACGCTGAAAACGATCCATAAACTATATGTTTCAACATCGAATCTCTCTTATAAACTGGTTGTTTTCAAATGAGTTTTTTACTTTATTTTTCCATTGTTAATATATCATGAACTTAATTACTTTGACTAATTTTTGTTATAAGTTGAAGACTTTTATAGATTTTTTTTAATGGGACTCTACTAATTGATAGTGAGATATATTGAGTTAGAAGAAAAAGTTAATATTTGTTTTACTAAACGATTAATTTTCACTTCGCATCTTCATTAAAAATAAATATAATTAAATTATAACATATAAATAAATATAAGTTTTATTTTATAATATCGAGTTAAGTTGAAATCGACTCTATAATTCTTGTTACATAAACTAGTGAAAATAATTATTTTTCTTTATTTTTTAATATAAATCATATTTTCTTTATCCATTTTTATGTATTATTACACGCTCTTTTCTTATTATTCTTACATTTTTGTTTTCACTTTTCTTTCTTCAAATACATAAATATATTTTTTTAATTTTATTTTGTTTATTATTTTCTCTCTATTATCTTATATTCTTTCTTTACTCTTTATACATAATATTTTTTTCGATGATATAAAACGATTACAAAAAAGAAGTCACCTTTATTTATAACATAGATAATATTTTTTTCGATAACATTAAAAGTGATTAAAAAAATCTCATTTATATATAAAAAAATATAAATATAGATACTACGTTAACTCATATCTAATTTAATGGTATAACTAAAATAAGACATTTTTTTTTCACTTCCACTAAAGTTTTTATAATTTTTCCACTTTTATGTCTTAATAACATCATAATTTATATAGTGACGTCATTTATTTTAAATTAGGAGAAATATAGAGTTATGTTCATATTTTTTGCTTAATTAATTTTGTAAGAAAATATTTTATTTTTTTCTCTTCACTTTTTAAATATATATTTTTTTATTAATTATGTATATATTTTTTTATCTTATATTTATTATTTTTTTGAATATATAAATTATAATAATTTTTAAAATTATGATATTTTTTATTTTTTTATCCTATAATAAAAAAAATTACAAAAGGAATCTAATTGTGAACATGGATGTTTTATAGTTTGTCTTTAACTATAATATTGGTGGTAGAAAAGTGAGGGATGAGTAAACACGGTGGAGAGTAAAACGACAACGTGAAATATCGGTTACGTGGAAGAAAAAGCACGTATGTGGCAACTGGCATGTCAAAAGCCGACAGAGAGGTATGTAGAAGGCTACTGTAGACATGTTTTTGCCCCACGTTGAAAGCTTCTTTCCCACTACCAAACAAAACTCCACTAATATATTCTCCACTTTCTATGGTTTTTATGCATGGTTTTCAAGGGCCACGAACGTCGATGGATAAGGTTGAAGTGCCAGTGTCGCAATGATAAAAAAAAGCTAGCACACACAGTAAAACACTTGTCTTTCATCAAACCCTAGTGCCTCCTTTAAGTGACCTTCCACCCACTTCAAGATCACCAGGAAGCACATTTCTAAACTTTTTCTTTCCTGTGAAGCCTTAATGATGGCTTATGATACTAAGCCACCAAGTTATTTTTGTCGACTATCATTGCTTTCTTCTTTACGTAAATACAACCAAGTTCCCACTAAGACTCCTTTTTTTTTTTCTCATATTTTTGTCCCATTGAGTACTGCAATAACTTTATCATATAAATTTATATATATTGATTTTGCTAAAAGAGATGAAGTTAGTCCACATTCGTGGAATAATGCTTCTTTTCTAATCAAAAGTTTATATTGAATGGAATTAGTTTGTAATCCAATTTAACAAGATAACTAAGATTGTAGTAAGAACAAAAGATGCTTTTAGTAAACGTTGTAGTGGTGGCTGCCTTAACTTGAATAATGCATCGGATTCACATGAATTGATGGCATTTAGAACCCCAATTATGTTTACGGTGCAACTCTTCCAACGTTGCAAATGATTAAACTAAATCACGATCAATAGATTTGGCTTTGGAATTAATAATTTTTCCGGGTGCGTCGTTGAAACTTTCCGGAGGCTAACTATATAATGAAAGCTACGTGTGAACATATATGGCGCAAGGATGAGCAATGAAGGTTTCATTTTGACGCGTGTTGCTCAAAAGAACCTTTTTCTTCTCGTGTCAGTGGCACGTCGTTCACACACTATTTTGACCAGATCCATATCAGATGTCTCTGACACTGATACATATATTTTCTACGTGGGTTTTCCTTACAGATGGCAAATTTTTCATGCAAGATGCCAATTGAATTTAGGTGTGTATGTTGGTGTCTCCTCAAGAAGGAAGGACTACAGAAAATTAGTTTTGAAGGAATATTAGATATGTATAACATATGAGAAAATATTATATTGGATATGTATGGAACAGAACATTGGTGAGAAATATCACATCATATTATGCATGCAAGTGCAATGATTAATAGTTGAGAAACCTGTTGTCATGGATTATGCCAGTTAGGTTAAAGGAATAGATAATTAATCAAATGTGGAAAAAGTTAATGCACCATGCACAAACAATAGGTGGGTCTCATGTTCCTTAATCCTTATCCTTCATAATTAACTAACTAAACCCTAATTTAATTATTTAATGTTAACTTAGATTGTAAATGTAGCTGGCTTGTTTTGTTAGCTTCCATGGCCGGCATTCATCTTCTTAAACGGTCCCACTTTCTTATGATGCTATTACACGTAGCGCCGCCTTTCTTACAGCAACTCACTCAATTTTTGAATAATAATAAAGTTTCTCTCTTTTTTTTTTTTTTTTTTTCTCTTTCTCTATCTCTTAGTAATTTTCATTATATATAGTCACAAATTAAAACTAAATTGTAGTGCCAAAGTCCACTATCAAATTCAAGATGGAAGATGCAAGTTTCAACCTTCCTCCTGGGTTTTTCTTCTCTCCAACTGATGAAGAACTCGTTCTTCACTTTCTCTATTCTAAGGCTTCTCTTCTTCCATGCCATCCCAACATCATCCCCGACCTTGATTTCTCTCAGCTTGATCCTTGGGAACTAAATGGTATGTTAAGTTACTTTCACTTTTTTTTAAAACTATATATACGTTATATATATAATATAATAATGGCATGACAATTGTGTATTCATCATGCATATATGTTTAATTTATGCAGGTAAGGCGTTGTTTAGTGGGAATCAATACTATTTCTTCACGAAAGTGAATGAAAACAGAACCACGGAAAATGGGTGTTGGAAGGAAATAGGTGTCACGGAACCTATATTGACAACTGTTGACAAGAAAGTGGGAATGAAGAAGTACTTGGTATTTCATATTGATGAAGAAGCTTCACATGGTACTGAAACCAATTGGGTAATGCAAGAATATCATATATGTTCTTCTGGGTTTGAGACTGTGTCATATGCAAGTGCCAGGAGAAGACGAAAACATGTGAGTTTCTTTTAGTACATTGTTTTTTCTGTTAATCGTAAGAGAAACTAATTAAACAAGTGACTGAAACTTTTATGATCGTTTATAGAGAATGTTAACTTTTTATTTAAGTAGTGTTATTATTGTCCCTGACAGGATCAAAGTTGGAGCAAGTGGGTTTTGTGCAGAGTGTATGAGAAGATGAGGTCTCAACAAGGTGTAATAAACTGCTGTACATGTAGCGATGACGATGAGAGTGGATCAGAGCTTTCATGGCTAGATGAAGTTTATCTGTCTTTGGATGATGATCTGGAAGAAATTGGCATGCCTAATTAGATTGAATGTATACTAATGTTAATATATATATATATATATATATATATATATATATATATATATATATATATATATGTATATATATATATATATATATGTATATATATATATATATATATATATATATATATATATATATATATATATATATATATATATAAGACTTTTAGTTAATTATAATATCTCAATTACGTGAATTGTTTGAAATGAAGGTGTTCAGTGAGGGTGTTTTTTACATGCAGATTAATGACAGGAGTTAAAATGGGTCAATCTTGAATATCTCGAAGGTCCAAATCGAGTAGTTATAGTAGAACTAGGTGAATCTTTAATACATTAGGATATATTTTGTGCCTGAAATTGAAAATATTAGTTAACGTGATTTATATAAATATTCACTTATTTAATTTCACATTGAAGAATGAATTCTAAATTTGGAAATGATTTTGTGTGAGATAAAAAAAACTTAACTATTAACATGATTTCAAAATAAAACATTGAAATATAAATTACTTTTCTTCGAACTAAATTTCAACAATTATAAAATTTGCAAACGTTACTCAAATATACACATTTGGAAACTCCAGTCAAGTAACTGCAAGCTGATTCTGAATGAGATAAATGTGTGATGTTAGATGTTCATCAAAGCTGAAATTTGGGAGTCAATCTTCAAGAATCATGTTCTCAAGGGAAGTTTCTTCGAAAATCAGCTGCTTTTTTTGTAAATTTCTAAGAAAGTCGTGCTATCAAAGTGTAAAAAATAATAGCAGATATGATAATGAGTTTCAAAGTATTGTGGTTCCAACGACCATGAAATTGTCATAATTTCAGGAAACTTGACTGTTTAAACATAAAATTAAATTAAAAAGAGGTCATTTGTGTTCGAGACAGTCAATTGACGACAAAATAATGAATGAATTTATGTTGATAACCCATTTCAAATGAAAGCACCTACCAAGTTCAAACATGACTACATTCAGTTATTACTTGGAGAATGTTTGCTTTACCATAAGGGGGATCCACGTTTAGAGCAAAATCCGTAGATACAACCCAAAACCATCTATTAGTCGCTTCTTGGATCCACGTTCACTAATACTCAACGTGTTACCACTGAGTTTTTGTATTGCAGTTACCACACATTTCAATGCATATTCACTCCAATTTCTTCATGAGTTTTGTGTCAGGGTGGAACTGACAGTTGAAATTTGTCTACATGACAAAAAACACACGCGCTTAATCGATTGCTCACAGAGCATAGTGAGAGGAGTATGATTGAAGATAGTTAGTATCCTTGGTAATCACGGTGGCATGATAACATTGTGACAAAGGCTTCTCATCAATGCGGCTATACCGACCTAACCAAAGTAGAAATCATCATAATCTGGAAGAAAAATATAAGGCCGATGATATCCAACATCCTTCAAATGAAGAATTAATTTACCGTTTACTTCACATATCTCTCCTATCTGTGGATGCAACTTGTCCTTGGCCACAAACTCGTGTCTCACATTTCTTAACTCAATCCAACTAAAAGCTGGTTCTTTCTTCATACTCCTCTCCTTCATTACCGTCCTAATTCGTTTGGCATCACCCCATCTACCAGATGCAGCATAGATGTTTGCTAGCATAACATGCCTAGCTGTATTTTCTGGTTCCAACTCAAACAGTGTCTCTGCAGCCTTTCTAGCAAGGTCCAAGTTCCCATAAACTCTACAAGCACCCAAAATTGCACCCCATATCGCAATGTGATTCATAACTGCATCGGGCAATTTTTTAGTCCAACTCATGGCTTCCTTGAGTCTGTTTTTCCTCCCCAACAAATCAATCAACAAAGCATAGTGATCAGCTTTAGGCTTCATTCCATACTTTCTCTCCATCAAATCCACCAACTCTAAGCCTTCATCATCTAAACCAGCATGGCTACAACCAGATAGCACCCCAAGAAATGTCACATGATTGGGCTCTACTTTGGATTCTATCATCCTCCTAAACACAGCCAGTGAGTCCTCCCCATTACCATTTCGTGCAAACCCAGTTATCAACGTATTCCAAGTTATCACATCCCTCACAGAAGCCATCTCAAACAAATTTTCAGCTGATTTCATATCTCCACACTTACCATACATGTCAATCAAAGCATTGGACACATACACATTAAACAAGTTCCCACTTATGCCACCTCTAATAATTTGACCATGGACCTGCTTTCCTCTTCCTATAAGAGCCTCTTCTGCACAGGCATCTATAATACTCACAAAAGTTGGAGCACTAGGCCTCACACCCTCTTCCAACATTTGCTTGAAAACATCAAAAGCTTCACCATATCGCCCATTTCTCACAAAACCCGTTATCACAGCAGTCCAAGAAACCGTGTTCTTAATCGGCATATCCTTAAATACCCTACAAGCCTCATCCAACCTACATGCTCCAAAGTAAGCCACCACCATTGAGGTCCAAGACACAACATTTCTCTCTGGCATCCAACAAAACACAGAACACGACAAATCGGGTTCACCACATTTCCCATAAGCATCAATCAACGCGTTGTTGAGAATCACGTTCCACTCCATGCCAACTAAAACTGCCACCCCATGAACCTGACGCAACCATTTAGCGTTACCCAAACAACCGCAGCTTCCAACTACGCTAACAAGAGTGAACTCGTCTAACACCAAAACGTTACGACCGTTTTGTGTCATTCGAAAGAGCTTAACCGAATTTTCGTGAAGCCCGTGGCGCGTGTAGCCGGAGATTAGCGAGTTAAAACTAACGACGTTCCGTTTAGGCATTTTATCGAACAGATTACGGGCCTTATCAAAAAGGCCCGTTTTGGAGTAAAACGAGATCAGCATGTTCCACGAACGAGTGGTCTTGTTGGGGAGATCGTCGAAGGTCTTTTGTAAACTTTCTTCGCAACCGCACTTTGAATACGCGTCAATGAGACCGTTGGCGAGGAAAGCGTCGAAGAAAAGCGCGGTTTTGATAAGGTGACCGTGCAAGGCATTTGTGAGTTTCACCCTCCTCGCCGTGACACACATCGAAATCAGAAACGAACTCTTTTCAACTGAAGAAACGACATCGATGGGTAGCATGGTCATGTTACTTGCTCTGAATCAAATTACGGGTATTTCTATGAAGTTTCGTTAAACGGTGAACATGATCGATTTGAGGAAGCGTGAATATGTTTGTTGATATGCAGGATGAGTTTTCGTTTAAGAGTGATCTTAGTGCTTGCGCAGGGTTGATAGATTTGAATGAGGTTTCAAATCCATGCTTTGATATCAAAGTCTCGTTACTTATACGGCTCTTACTCTTGCTGTGTGGAGTGGTAGCTTGTGCTCAAAAGGTGTTTGATCAAATTGTTGTAGAAATATAGTTTCTTGTAACAGTTTGATTAAGAGTTATATTTAACGTATCAATTAATATCAAAATTATTAAAAAAAAAACACTTTCTTCTTTACCCGAGACACTGTTATAAATTCTTCTTGAAAAATTTTAATATTTTCCTTTTTATCAAGAAAATCTTAGAATTTTTTAGAATTATGGTATTGAAGTTTTATGGTTCCATTTTTTATTTCTGATCTTAAGAATTTTATAAAATTTTTACAAATTTTCATTTTATTTTTAGAAATTACTAACTCATAGGATTCTAATTTGTATAAAATTTGTTTGAAATAAAGAAAATATTCTTCTTTAATCTTGGAAAAGACTAATATATCGTCTTTATAAACGCAAGTGAATAATTTAAGATATTTAAAAATGTTATCCATTTTTCTTTGAAAAATGACAAGGTGCATTTTTTCAAAATAAAAAAAAAATGAACTGTTTACTGTGCAAATTAAGACTCCGCCACAGTTATTTACTCTATAAATGTTTTTTTTATTTTAGATAAACATTATTATATACAAATTTAATGTTTTTAACTAAATTAATAATTTTCTTAACATGTGATTAATTATAAAAATTTTATAAATTATACTATTTTATTTTTGGAATACATATCATCATTAAGATATATTTTTTATATTTTTATACTAACTTAAAGTATTTGTGATCAAGTTCAAATATTGCCATTTTTATATTATTTTTTTGACAAAAATATTTAGTGTCCAATGTAGGGTTAGTGAAATATATACCGGACCACACACTCGATAATTACCAAAAGTCTCCACTAGAGAGAGATTCAAAGAAGGATCATATTAAAATGAGTATGTTTGATCCTTTTACTTAACTCAAATCATTCTGTTTGGAGAAAGTGATACCCACCTTTGCAAGGTCTTTCTCATGACATTAAGAGGTGCAACTTTTAAATGGTTTTATGATTACTAGATCAATAGATTCATTTGATATGTTAATTTATAAATTCTGAACAAATTTTGTTGTCATAAGACCACACTAACCGACATTTCTCACATTGCAAGGACTAATACAAGAAAAGGGTGAACCCTTGAGAAAATTTATGAAAAGATTCAATGAAATAAGTCTCACTCTGGATAATCTTTCTCCTCGGATTTGATCATTCATTCCTTGATATAAGGTCTAAGACGAGGATCATTTTTAGATACCATATATATGGATTATCTAAAGTCAGTGGAAGAACTAAAAACTCGATATGTTAGATTCATACAACTGGAGGAAGGTATTGAGATATAAAAGAAAAGAGAACTATTGGAGAAGAAAGACCCGTTCCACAAATACAACTTAGAGAAAATATATAAATGAGAAGATAGAAGAGAAGAAATGAATTTTACTCCTCTCAATGTTGATATTGAAACAATCTTACGAGAATTATGCAATTTGGTGCTCGTCAAACTACCAAAGCCATTTGTCACACTTTCAGATGCAGACCGATCAAAACAATATGTGTGACACCAAAATTATGATCATACCATAGAAAATTGAAAAAATTTATATATATTTTGGAAGACCTCATTTGAGGTAAAGCCTTAAATCGATTCATTCTACATTACAGGCACAACTGGGATTATAGATAAGATAATTACAAAGGGTTATCATGGTAGGGATGAGGATGTTTTGGAGGATGAGAACCGGAGCTCTGATACCAACTGATATGAATCTCAATTACACAAGGGCTAATTTAGGATCTTTAGGGTTAGAACCTTGTAAGAAATTTAGGAATTTAGTGATAAGGTAGAAAGAAAGAATCACTCTTTCCAAGGAATGCAACTCACAAAGGATGTGAAAGTCCTTTGATACAACCAAGTGTTCTTGAATCACTCAAGAACTTAGGAGAATCACTCTCACTAAGATAAAAGAGATAAACTCTAATATTTCTAAAAATAAAACTCAACTTGTTATTTCTGATAAAAATGGTTCAGCTTATAAAGAAGTTTTACCATCAAAGTTACAAATATTCATTAAAGGAAAATAAATGCTAATAATGATTTATTAACCTAGGAATTGAAAACTACTTAATGATTGATTGTAACTGAAATTGTGGCATTCAAAAGTCAATAAGGTATGCACTCTCTTGGTCTCCCAAAAACTGATAACTAAATTTCCAATTGGACCCTTATTATAACTTGCAATAAAACTAAATTAAAACCCATTAATTGATTAATCCAAAACACAATTTGGTCAACTAACAATACTTGTTGAAGAGCTTCATTTGCTTTCCTTGCTCTGGCCCTTATCATAGGTCATGTTCACATCAGGTAAGGAGTATGATTTGTCATTCCATCTTACCGGAGTCACTATGGGGAGAGACACTAAAGATGACAACTTATATTCTAAATAGAGTACCAACTAAAGCAGCTACCAAAACACCTTATGAGTTTTGGACTAGGCGAAAGCCTAGTCTGAAGCATTTCCATGTGTGGGGTTGTCCAGCTGAGGTAAGGCCTTATAAGCCAAATGAAAAGAAATTGGACTCCTATGCTGAAAGATCCAGTGGATATAAATTTTATGATCCCACATTAAAGACAATTTTTGAGACGGGAACTGCTATGTTCTTTAAGGATATTGAGTTTGGGAAGAAGAATAAAATTAGGAATTTTGTCTTGGAGGAAGAATAGGTAACAATTCCAAAACCGATTCAAATAGTTACTTTTGATAAAGTAAGTTCGGAACCTCCACAAGGCATTGTTGATGAACCCCTTACTCAAGATGATTTGGTTATTCATGAAGAACAAAATCAAGATCTTTAAGAACTTGTGCATCATGAGCCAATAACTTCACGGAGATTCACTAGAGAGAAAGAAGAAGTGTTATTTCAGATGATTACATGATATTTCTTCAGGAACACGAGGAAAACAATGGTATGATGGAAGATGACCTAGTTAACTTCCGTCAAGCTATGCAAGGTTCTAACTCTGAAAAGTGGATTGAAGCAATGAAGGAGGAATATAAGTCCATGCAAGACAACAAGGTTTGGGAACTTGTCCCATTACCATAAGGTATGAAACCCATTAGTTGCAAGTGGATATTTAAGACTAAACATGATTCTAAAGGTAATGTGGAAAGGTATAAGACTCGTCTGGTAGCTAAGGGTTGTAGACCCCAAATCTTGCCCAGCCTCAAAATAAAGAGCAGAAGATTTTCGTTCGAAGATGGGCAAGGCCTAGAAAGTCCCTAGGATATATCAACAGGCCCCATATTAGAATAAGAAGGATTTTTGTACGGAAAAAATAAGAAATTCCACCTAGAGGGCCGAGACTGCCGTCTCGCCACTTGCCAATGGTGAGATGACCTTCTCGCCACTTGCCAATGGCGAGATGACCTTCTAGCCACTTGCCAAGGGCGAGACCGCCGTCCCGTTTGGTGAGATGGCGGTCCCGACTTGACAGGCATGAATTTCTATAAAAGGGGGGGGGCGACCTCATCCTTTACACACCACAAAACAACTTTCCCTTCTGCAATTTCTCCAAATTATTCTCCTAGGATCCCTCCGAAGCATTTCCGGAGTTTCTTAGTGTTCTTAGTAAGCGTCCCGTAGTGTTACGAGAAAGAGCGATCATCATTATAGAGTGCAAAGGTTGCCAAAAAGCACCTTTACCAAGAATATTAATATAAAGCTTTCTTCGAAGGTTCCTATATTTTCTATCTTCTTTTACCGCTTTCTTATTACATCTATTTGTGCATTAACTATTAGGGCCATGTAGTCAACCATTTAAATTTCGCGAATGAATAAATAAGGGTAAAAGCGTAATTTTAGAGTTCTTTATTTATAAAATAAACGGTCCATCATAGGGAACCCGAAAGGGGCGTCGTAGGGAAGCTAATACCTTCCCTACGCATAACTAACTTCCTTACCCAACTCTGGTTATAATGACCAAAGTTGGTTTTTCTAAACCAACGCCTTCTTTTTTTTCCTTTTCCAATGTTTCCGGATAAAATATTGGTGGCGACTCCAGAACCCTTTTCGAAAACCTCGCCTTTAGGTCCAACCCGGTTATCGGACAACCTAAAGGCGTTGTAGCATCACTTTAAAAACGCGAGTCGAAGCAAAACCATCGCGTCGCTCCGACCACCTCTTTTGACGGCAGCGACAGATGGCGACTCCACTGGGGAAGCCTAGAGAGTGATCTCATTTAGTGATGGGCCAGATTGATAAATAAAAGACTTAAAAATTTCGCTTTTACCCTGCCTTGTTTTATAACATGCTTTATTTGCTTGACTTTAATAACTGTTGTTTGTTTATTTGATGCAATTGTTTGAAATACAAACTGTACACAAACCCTTGCACACAATAGTTCCCCCTATACCTGGGGGCAAGTGGGAAATCCATAGGAAGTGGGTGGCAGGTACGATTTACCATAATGAGGGTCATGAGCCCACCGATACGGTCGGAAACCACCGCTCAAGGTGATAACCTTCCTCCTTTGACACAAAGACTGACTAAGGCCTTAGTGCCATGCATGGTCGAAAGGCTGGAGAGTGGGGACCCTATAATGGGGGCACCTTGGGGGCCTGACCCTGGTGAGGAAAATTAGAAATACCCTGAATATGCACTCTTCTGCAGAAAAACCCTACCTCATAATTAAAATGTCGTCCTACTTGTTCGCGGATGAGTGAATTA